ATATATGTACAAATTTGTGTAATAATAAATTTTAATCTTATGCTTTAAGTTTTGACTGCCTACCTGATGATGGTGGGCAGTGAACACATCGAAACATGTAGTGGAAATACTGTCATTTAAGTTTTAAGTGTTTTACAAACCAAATTTGTGTAACGCTATATATTAATTCAACGAGGTTATAATTTTCACAAACAGTATGTAACCAATAAAAATAAAAAATACCATCCCTCAATGTGTGATCAGTCTAATTCTCAGGCGATTATAGCCATTGAAGTTCCCTGGTACACTCCTGGGATTTAAACAATTGTTCCGGCACATTAATAACCTACAGGAGGCCTATAAGTAAAAGATAAATTTGGCAGCAACAAACGCGATATACCTCTGTTAACAGCATCAGAGTAACTATGCAGCAAGGCGAGTCTATTAAAGGTCCAGTAATCTTTCTGTATGTCCGGAAATCCTCGTCTAAGCCAGCCTTCTTAATACGACGCTCGTCTCCCGAGAGTAAAGAAAAGACGTTGGTTTGCGTTTGTTACTACATTGAAACATAAGTTGTGTGTAGCCACATATAAGTACTCCACTGTTGTAAAGCATATTCTATAATTTATTAAATAACAAATCTTTTCTATAATGCAGGATTCCATTCGAAGTTAAAAGAAATAGACTATGACACCCCCATCCCTAGGTAAGCTTGTTTATCTGTATCATTAGATTCTAAAATTATAATTACTACATTATTTTCAGCAAATTTCAAGACATCTGTTAATTAATTCAAAATTCATTACGATAGACGAACAAGCGGATATGATACCATGAGCAAGTAGTTATTTAAAATACCACAAAAAGGCTACAAATAATATTATTTAATGTTTCTGAATGCAATCTTCAGATCACCTTTATTCCGATATACTTAATAAAACAGTTCAGTGACTCTAAATGTGTAAAACGTAATGTTCTTTTGTTTAAGCTTTAGAAATCTTTAATACCAAGAACAGCTGTATATACGTTTGTTTCCTACTTTTAAGCACTTCAGTCAAAATACATAATTGCTGGTCTGCTACAAAACTCTTGCATGTAGCCGAAGGACATACGACTTTGTTCCGACCTATATAAGATCCAGATCCAATTTAATTATTGCGTCCTTACATAAAACACAAGGAAATTTTTGGGCTTATTGTCCTGAAGGCGATTTCACAAATGTAAACAAAGCAACTTCAGCTCAAAGAGAATTCTGAATGTAACCACACTAAGAATACGGCTTAAACTGTAATAAAATAAGTTTTCTTGAGCATAAACTTACGCTTTACCATTCCAGAATTTCTACTGTAAATTTGAAGAGATTATCATATTAAGTGTACGAACCAAAGTAGCTCAGACTGTGTAAGGAGGCAGGTTCCTTATGGATAAGACATTAAATTACTTTTCTAACAGCCTAATACATGCTTTTCTTAACAACCTTGACCGTTCTTTATCTTCTGAATAAATTACCTTCTTTAGGAAACCAAAATATACTTATCTTGTCCTCAAAAGTAAACTACTACGACTTCTTTTAAGCACGCTCAATGAGCCAAGAACCTCGCAGACTCTTATATTAATACAAGGAGCATTTTAATATTATTTTCCCACCGAAAGTGACGATCATTGAGAGATCAGCACTCGTATTACGGAGGCCCTGGTTTTATATCTCGAACTAGTTTGGCTTTCCTGACTAACGTTTCAAGTGGTTTTCCTCAGTCTTCCAAGGCAAATGTAATAGTAACGTCAATGACACAGCGACTTCTTCCTGTCATATTCAATTAAATTCGCTACAAAATCTGATCAACTGAAGCAGTAATTAAGTAAACTGAGGCTAAATAAATGAATAAATTATAAAATTCGCATTTAGGAACCCCCAAAACAACCATTATTTTGACATTTCCCGATCAAAAGTGTCCTCCCTCATATAACGATTCAAATGACAGGTACAGAGTAAAAATTACGAAGCTCATAACTTTGTAACTCTCTCCATCCACCTTTATATATTTGTTTCTTAGGTACCAAAATTCTCGCCCGCATTTTCCTACTTCTGCGACGCGTCATAATTTATATTTTTAGTATTTTCAAAAAAAAAAAAATCCTGTCTCATTTTGGAAAATACCAGATCGACCTCACGCGAAATTAAACAGATCTGGCGTGTTAGGTGGTTGAAAGTACGTCAATAACTGAATGTTCGTTCGACATTTATCTATGTGAATATGACCTCGAACACTGACATTTCATGTTTAAATTCAGTGACCTTTCAACACAACACACATTTCCACTTCGATCCTAAGACTTAATTCCTTCAGAAAATAACTTGAACTTCCAAACAAGAGAAAATGTTTCCTTCGGTTCATCATAAGATGAAAGCTTCTTCCTACAGAAGTTTATTTTGAGTCTGAAGAGGAAATAGTCAGTCAGGGACCGGTCTGGATGAGTGGTTCTCCTGTTTCCAGACTCCAGAATGGCCTCACTTACGTACAGATCGCTGTAAAGAGTTGCTCTTGTTAAACATCCTTTAGGTTCTGTTTCATATAATGCAGAGTACTCTTGGGGTTCGCCATGATCAAAGTGTTGTATTACAAGATCACGTATAACCACCATTAGTGATATCAAAATAAGAAAGTGGGATGGGCTGTGAATGTAAAATGCACGGAATAGATACAAAAACACGTATAAAGTATTATTTGGAAAACCTTAAGACAATACACATCTCTCTTGGAAGTATAATATTAAAATGGCGTTCGAATAAAATGTATATGAAAATTCTGACTGTGTTTACGTGGTTCAGGACGGGAATATTAGTGTGGGGTCCTGTGAATATGATATGTAAGAAAACGTTTCCTCCAAAGCTCAACCGTGTCTATTTTATCGTTTATTTTGTTTTGATCATAATATCTGGCGAAGCGTACATATTATGAAGCTCCTCGTTATGAAATTTTCTCCAGTATCCCCTAACCCTCTGAAATCCAAATATTTTCTCACCGTTCAGTTCAAAATTATTATCGCTGTATGCGTCACTCTTAATAAGAGAGAGAACATTTTATACCCATACAGACTGTATAATGTCATTTTGCATATTTTAATCTTTAGACTTCTAAATATAGGGCAGAGAGACGAAGTATTCTGAAATGAATGGCATTAAACATTCCAAATTCCTAATTTCTTCTTAACATATCTGTGAATGTATTTTTTACCTACTATAGCCTTTTCCAAGTATTTTAACTTCGCCCCATATTCGAAGGATTCATAAATTACCTTTATATTACTCCAGCCAGGAGACATGAGCATACATTATATTCAGTAGTTTCAGTTATCATGCCCGTCAGTGGATGGGCATTACTAACACATACGACATCAAACTTATGTTTTTATTTGGTGAATGTAGGTATACTGTTTAATATAACGCATGTCTAGAACAAACGCGTGCTTCCGTCCACAGAGACAAATCAGAAAACCTTATTTTAAAAGCTGTGAAATTCCTCATCATTTCTGTACTTCCCACTGGGCAGTTCTCACGTTTCGCTCTACTTAAAATGTTTTCAAAGTAAACGAAAGCTCCACATCGGAAATGCAATCTTCTGTCTCACAGAACGTCGAATGTGGACATACGAATGTCATTCTAAGTGTAAGTAAAGCAAACATAATTCAAAGCGTAGATTTCACACAGACGCCAATGAAATCTTTCCAATTTTCATGAACAAATACTGTACAGAAACCGATCTTATTGAGCTTCGTTTAATTTGGCTTGTCCATTTCCCAGAGGAAAGTTGTTGGAGATAGGTTGAAGGTAAATTTCAGCCCCCGTGTGACAGATGCGAATTAGATACTGATACGCCATTTTATAACGCAAATCTAAACTGATTGGACCACATGAAATACGTAGACAAACATGAGAGGATACTATTAAAATTAATCCTATATAAACATAGAGTGAGTTTATGGGCTATATTTATCTGGTTCACGACATGAACAGATGGCGGGCTCTTGTGAAGACGATACCAAACTTTCCAGTTGCATAAAATTCCGGGAATTTATTGACCAGCGAACGACTATTGTTTCTGCATGAAGGATTTTGCTTCATGAATTTGGTCTAATGGTACTATTAACATTTTTATGAATAAATCACACACCATTTGTTGCTAATACTGATACTTGTTCATGCCCTCAAGCCCAGTTGAGTTAGCACATCCGTAGAAACAACAGGTAATAAAACCATTTAGCCTAGTGCTATAGGAGACACCCATAATGCGAGAATTAAGAAGACAATTCATAATAAATACACGTTATCATAAAGCTGGAGAATTTCAATATGCTAAAAAATTAACATTGAACTGCTAAAGTTATTAGCTGTTATAAAATCTGGAATTTAAAGCAATTCTTAACTCTATAAAGCCACAAACCTAACCCGAAAATAAAAAAAACTCATTTAACTGAAATGTGTAAGCTTATATTTTAGAAATATTTTTGTTATTTGGAATGTATATGTCCCTCTTCAATGAAACGCACGAAACTTCATGACCTGAGTCTTCCAAAACGAATATTTCTGTGATATTTTGCGACTAAACGTTTTTATAAATAATTGATTTACATAAATATAAAACAAGTATTAACGGTATTAGCACCCTATTAAATAAAACACGAGACATTTTACTTCAACTCTCATTACCATACCATCTACTTTCCCAACATTCTTACTTTATTATCATCTAGTCAACTTTAGTCGCTTTACAGACGACTTAAACACAAACATTTGTATGTATTTCTTATGTGCCTACCGAAACAACATCAGTAAGTTGATTATCCTGACAACACTGAGTTCCTTTTCTGTGAAAATTATACATCTGATCCTGTGTGACCACATAAGCTTTTCTTACTGTGTTCACAATTTATCATGTACGCAGTTTCATTTAAAGAATAATAAATTTCTGTGTGATAATTCTGAACGTTAAGACAAATATATAATATAGGGCAATACGTACTTTATTCTTTGCAGTTTTAACCTAGACACACACTACACGTAACATGGGTATATGTTGCAATTTCTTCGATTCCACAATTCGAACCGGAAATTACCTGAAAGGAACAAAACAATATTATTAATTGTTACTTTTATTCCAATAATATAAACATAAAACATATAAAGGGTTTGATCAGTGGGTTATTTAACGACACACTATTTTGTACACAGTTTATTTAAAGTTGGAATCGATTTTGGGTAGTTTACTCAAGGTGAAGTGAAATAAAGTGAACGTAGTGTGTTTGAAAGTCAGCATTCAGGAATTCTCCCAGGACTTCAAGAACAAAACATCAAAAACCTCAGTAAGGTGCGAAAATGGTCTGATCTAAACGGGTACCCTGCATCTCAAATACAGGTCAGAAGTATTATGAGCTGAGTCAGCCTATTTGGTAAGTTTAAGGAGATTTAATAGCTGTTCATAAGCACATTTGCAAAATAAGAGTTTAAAAAATCCTTCGGTAGCTTCGTCACGTCTGTCGGCATTCAAAACTCGAGATACAACGGACTTTCATGAAATTTAAAATTATGGAATTTTACTAAAATTTTTGTTGAAATCAGGTGACAATAACTGCAGTTTACAAGGAGATCTCAATGCGTTTCTGCGCGCTAAAGTGGCTGGATGGGGAATCCCCGCATGAGAAACCCTCTACCATACAGAAACACATAAGAATTATGTGGTAACATTTTTACGTGAGAATTTCCCGGCTGTAATGACACTGGCTACATTCTCAGAGGTCAAAGGTCATGTTCTGGTGAACTCGCCACAGGCGTTAAGCCATGCGAGGTTTCCTTCTTATTGTAGATATTTGTTTCGATGAAATACATATTTCCTGTCGTTAATAAGTTTCTCTGCTGGTTCCTTCAAAGTCTTTGATTTAGAATGTAAAAGAAAAGAACATAAGAAATTCTATATTAAATTACTTTTGATCGTTCTCAACTAAACAGTTCAATATGTATGCATTATAGAAGAGCTCAAAATTGAATTCTCATTAATAATACAGTCAATTGTTCTGCTAATAAGTGTATGTCACGTATCACAGAGACGACTGATAATAAATTGGTTTAATTAACTGCATCTTTGTAGCTCAATTAGCCTTACATTATACACGACTCAGTAAACATTATATTCATTAAATATTTCCATCGTATCAAGTAATCAGAAAGACTAATATAACTTTCTATATTAATTAGATGTCTCATAAATATTGAACAATCCTAAAGGTATAGGAAATGGTGTCGTACATTCTACAAATAAAACACTTCGCTTCGGCAGTTGAATGTCCTTCCGCCTTCCAGGTGAAAGGTAAATTTACAAGACAGCAATCAGAAATCATTACACTATTAACCCTTTGAAGCCAATGGTCGTATAAATTGTATTTAAGAATTCAGTCCGTACCGCAAAGAAAACACTACACTTCACCATTACAAATATCACTTTTTTAACGCTGTATAAGCAAATAATTGGAAAACACGGTGAGAAATATACAAAAAAACACAAAAATACAAAATGCAGGGCTTATGATTAATAGAGACGGTGGTACATGCAGTTAACACTGGTCTTTAAAGTGTTCGTTATTAAAAATTAGTCATTACAATCAAAGACGAAGTCATGCTCAGCTTTATAGTATGAACAACTGGAATATCATCGTTAACTAACTAGTTTAGGGAACCCTAAGGTTCATCACCGAACAAACCAAAGCCCTCCGCCGGTCCCTGTTCTGGGTCAACAAAATCCAGTCTCCTTCAACTCCTATCTCCCACAGATCCTGCTTGATATTATCCTCCCATCTACGTTTAGGTCTAGTCGTTAAGAAACTATAAATAAATAAGCAGGATGATATGCAGAATAGACTCAGTTGTGGCAAAGAATACAGCAGAAATAAATGGACGATGAGGTTACAATGTCTGGACTAAAATAGCGACAGAAAGGAGAACGCTCGGTGTATAAAGAGCACGGTGACTCTGTTCTAATGGAATTCTTTAATGACACGAGTCGGCCCAATTAGCTACGCTTCTCGTCTTAAGAGACCGGTGCTGTCGTCATGGTTGTGAACGACTTTGGGTTCACAGCTATGTTTGTGTTCCGGTGTCCACGCAAAGCCATCAGTACCTGTCACAGCCTGCTACAGTGACGTGGGTGTTCTAGTTTAATAAAGACAGATCAAAGTCAATAAGAATAACATTTATGTCAGCAGGTCCATGATTGAGTACTCAATAAATAAATAAATTAATCTAGCTTAGTAAAAGATATCTGGACGTCAAGAGGATTATCGCTTTGAAGACGAATCTGATGTAATTATATATCAAAATTAGCTTCTGCATTAAAATGACCAAGTTTTTAATGCCGGTCAAAGAAATAATTAGTGTTTTTTAATCACATGAAACTAATAAATACGCTATGTTGGAATAACGAAGAGTTAATAACCTTAAACCTTGGATACCGTGTAGTGTATTGGAATATAAAACATGCATTCAAACAAAACTGTTTACACTTTGAAGGACACTAATGCCAAACGCGTTTCGACCTCAAGAGGTCATCATCAGTGGTAAAACAAATTAATTCATATAATAAGAATAAAAAAATAGATGTTGAAGCACGTACGATAATTAACAATATCTTCATTGGCAAACAATCTGTTTACGAGATAATAAAATATAATCACATCTAATAAATGGAAACATCTGAAGATTGAAGCGGTTCCTTTTCGCATAATTGTGTTTCGTACTTTGCTTCCTAGAATATAACGGAGTGAACATTACAGTCAAAACGGCAAATATTTAATCACTGGTATGAACAAAATAAGTGGCAAATGAGAAACAAAGTAACAAAAATATGAAACAAAGGAAGGCTGATTGAAACGAGAACCACTCGGTGATAATGCTGAGCGTACGAGCCTATTCTGCTGACTGTCCATTATGATTCCGTCAAAAACAGATTTACTACAGTACACAATTACAATTCAGAGCAGATGAGAAGAACTTTCTCATTTCGCATGTAAAGCGGCCGGCGTGTGCAATTTACCTTTCAACTTTATTAAGAGGACTAGAATACATGGAGGATCCTTCATTAGTCGCCTTTATAGCGTGGTGCATAGAAACAGGTATCTAATATTACATTTTTTACTCGAATTAAGTTTTATCGCTTAATTTAGACCATCGTACATATGCAGTCTAACATAATATATGGAGCCCATAACGTCTACAACTCTACACAAAATATTTCTTTATACTTTTAACAAAATACGAACAAAGTATGAAGATGGCTGTTGTCTAGGATGTAGAACCGTATAGTATGGTACATACTGACAGACGTTACAAAAGGTATTATTGCTGCCATCATCAGGACTAAGAAAAGACACGCGAGAATACGTTGTAGTAGGCAGTGGTGGTGGTGGTAGTAAGAGGAGGAGGTTGGGAAGGAAAGGGTCCGGGATGGATCAAATTTATGGACGAAATGCAAATGATTTCTGATCAGACTGTACAGGCAAGATCTCTGCCTTCCATTGCTTAGTTCATAAATTTTATTCCTCTCTGTGGTATTAAATAGAGATTAGAAGCCGTATTAATTGTTATGGCAACAGTTTCAAACTGCTTTGCCTGATACAAACAACGCCATACTCCATTTATAAAGCTCTTGAATTCCAGTTTCAAACAATGATATAATTTCCGCATAAGCAAAC